CCTAAACATGCATTTCTAGATGTGTTTAACATTACCCAACAACAAGTTATCATCTTTAAGCCTTAACATGCATCAAGCTTTCATTTTTAAACTTAAAGACTCAAGATCAAAGGTGATGAAGCTTACCAAAGCTCAAACTCAGAAAAAGGGTGCTCTTGGAGCTCACACAACAGCTCCAAGGTTTTGTCTCTCACTGTACACGAAAATAGTGCACAAAGGTGGTTCTTTTACACAACAAGGAAGCTCCTTGAAGCTTCAAAACACCTAAGGAAAGCTCCCTCCTTCCCAAAACTTGAAAACAACAAGCTCACTCTCTCAAGACAGAAGCCAAACTCAGAAATGAAGTCTCTTTCTCACTCACAAGGATTGTTCACACTCACCCAATGTGTTTACAAGAGAAAAAGTGAATGATCAAGGAAGAAAAGGCCTTGAACCTCAAGAAAAGGAAGGAGAAAACCCAAAGGATGTGTTTCTAGTCATCCACCAACACAACTCACGTAGCAAAATCTGGTATCTAGGGCAATGTGCCCTTAATAAGGGTATTTATAGCCCAAACGCACTTAAACACACAGTATTAACTTTAATTGCTACGCTTAGAATTTTAATCCCAAACTTTGGATTATGAAACTACATAATTTTCTAAGATTTATCATACTTTTCTGAGCACCTTTCCAGTACGCGTTTTTCCACGCCAGTACCGGTTTCTAGCATCAGTTCTCATTATCTGGACTTGAAACTCGTTTTACAAGTCCTACATATCATTCTAGTAATTATCATGCACTTATTATAATTTTCCGGGATACTTTTTCGGCACGCATTTATACTGACTAGCAGAACCGGTATCTGCACTTTTCTTCTGAAAAGCTACTTTCAACATTATTACTCACTTACTATAATTATTAAAGCCTCATAATAATTATTAGGGTCAATTATGGAATCATTTCCTATTTTCTCATAATTTATTAACTAAATTCCTTAATTAACGGTGCGGGTTCTTACAGAAAAACTTGGAAGGAGTTTAAGGGTTCGTTGAGAGACATCCAGCGAATCAAAGGAAGTATCTAAGGTTCAATAGAGAGATCATTGACCCTAGCAACTTGTTGCATTAATCCGACGGCTGAGGCAAGGTTGATGGTGGTGGAGCTCACAGTTGCTGCGAGAGCAGTGCTACAACAACGTCCCTGTTTTCTTTATTTTAGCTTTATGGAGTCTTATTCTTTCTTTGTTGTTTCTTTCCACCCAATTATGAGCTAAATTGTTAGGATTGTGTGATAGAGTATCCTTATTGTGATGTAATCAATATTGCCTAAACTTTGTTGCATGATTTTCCTTTCATTTGCTTAATAAAGTATTATATTGTCTCTAATCTTGTTGATTCATCGAGAGAGGGTTGCAAGGTACTTAGGATTTATGCTATAGAGATATAGGTGAATCTTGAATGTTATTAAGCATTGTGGTTTAACTAAGTAAAATTAGTTAATTGTGGTAGAGAGATCATTCACACCATAAAATCATATGGAACTTGATCTTAATAATTTATAACTTTGTTGGCCATAGAGATGTGGGACTTAGTATATATGTATTGTTGGTGAAAGCCCTTGCATGCATTAGTGTTCTGATTACTGAGTGGATGATTGCTGTAGCATAGTTACCGTATTCTGGTGAAATTGCAATAATGGGGAAATTGATCCCAATCTATTCTTGAATACTTGGAAAACTTATTTGGTTGCTGCATTCATTTTAGTTAATCATTAGTCTTAGTTTATTGTATTTCTTAATTGTTAAATTAGTCATTAGCTACTTACAAATCATCTTTGTTACGTTGATTGCTTCACTTGGAGCTATAACTTTACTTAATTTTCGTGGCAACGATATTTGGACACACACATCCACTTTATTACTTGTTGACACGTGCACTTGCGTACTTGTGTGATTTATAATTGATTGTGAAATTGCACAACAGCAACACTTCAAAAAGTAAAACAACACACAGACAGAGGCATATCCTTCTATATATTCAATCACACACAATAATATGAGTTACCAATGCAAGATTGAAGAGTTAACTAAGCAGTCACACAATTATTGCTAACACAAACAAGATAAATCTACCACCTCAACAACAAATAACTCAATCAACAACAGTCACACTATTAAGATAACACTTATTGCTAACACGGATTGAAGATATAACAAAGTTATAACAATAGCACTAAAATGACAATGATTCAACATACAAATTAAATTTCTTACAAGCTTCAAAGTCTCTAGCATGCCTCATCTTTCCACTATTATCACAATCTGTAGCATGCCATTTCATTATTGGATGGGAGGAAAAATGGTGCACCAAATGCAAAACAAAATGTCCTTATTTTGTTATTCAGTTAATTTAATAAAGTTCTTCTAAAATGGCAAAACGAGCAACGTCGGATCAGTGGTTAATTCATGACTTTAGTTACATTATGAACCTAGGTTCGACTTCTGTTGTCGAATATTTTGCAACTAGAAGCATATTTTTAATACAAACTTTAAGTAATGTAAATTCATCTTAATAATTTTGTTATTGCTTAATGTTAAATTCTCAATCAATTTTATAAATAATTGTTAGTTGGAGACAGTGGGTGATATTATATCACTAAGGTTTGAATCCATGTAAAGAACAAATGATCAGAATTATCAAACACATTGAAAAAGAAAATTAGAACAGACTTTCTTGATATCAGACAAAGGAACAGACAGATGAATGTATGCAGAATAGTGGAAAAAATCTGAGCCCACTGAATGTATCTCCTTAAGATAATTTGTCCTCTCACTAATGCCAAAGGTTGATGGACAAGTGTCTCCCAGGATAGAACAGATTTCGTTTAAGGAGTGGCGGCACTACTAGTCGACAACTCAAACGAACACAACAATATGCCAGAGAAAGGAGAATACAAACCGGAAGGAGGAAAAATTCCGGCAGGGTAACAGTACAGAAAATTGGATGATATTTCAGGGGGTCTATTTATAGATACTTACCGATCACGATGAACCGCCGCCGGCAGCGAACCGCGTGAATGACGCCCGCGAACGGGCACGACCGGTGACCTGTTCGGTGAACAGGTACAACCAGTTCGCGAAAGGTAAGAACCGGTTCGGTTCAAAACATTCAAAAAACCGGCGGGTAGAAACGTTTGGGTTTGGGCAAATTGGAGGGAAGCAACGGATAGTCACAGATGTATTTTGGACAAAAAATTAAAAAATTATTTAATAAAAATTTTTATTTAACACACACGTACGAACCGAACTGACGGCGGCGCACGCAAGTGTGTGGTGGACCTAGGCGCACCTAGCTCCTCTCCCCTCCACAAAATGTTAGTGACCCAAGGGCCAATTTAGGAGTGTGAGGTGGGAGCTTATAGACTCTCTCACCTACTAGTTGTCCAATATGAGACTTCTTAAACTCACACACCTCTTCAACTTCCCTTTTCTCTTTTCTTTCTTAACCGACTTCTTATTCATAACCAATAAATTGTCTATACAATTTCTATATAAATTCCAACAATAATAAGGTCTATCTCTTCATAAGTTATCCGTGTATTACACATTAATACTGAATTTTTGTTATTGCCACCCAAAGACTTAAGAACTAGGCACCTTACTGAAGCTGCCCATGTCCATGGACGCCACGCACCTTTGCACGCCTATAAGCTTGCTTGCCAACTACATCTTTATAGCCCGAGTCATGGTTTTCCCATGATCTCTCGTTCATCACTACACCACCCATGATTATCACACACTTGTTGAATAAATAAATAAACTTGATTTAATTAGTTTTTGGTCCATTGGGCTTAGTTATTATTTGGCCCAACTTCTAGAATAATCTTTAGGAGTAGTTTAGCCCAAATTCTAGAGTAATCCACTCTAGATTACTCCATGAAAATATCTAGAATAGTTCAACCTAGAAACTACCATAGAAATATCTAGGCTAGGAAAATTGTGGAGAATTCTAGAGAATGATTTGTAGCCATTAGATGAGAATAGTGTTGGCATAATCCTAGCCATTGGTTAAGGAGGTGCCACTAGTATAAATAGGTGTGTCCTCCATCATTTTGCATCAAGCCAAAAAGCCAAAAAAAAACAAAGAGAGTTGTGTAGTAATAAAAGTGTTCTCTTCCTCCAAGTCTTCCTAAACATTTCCTTTTCTCAAATATCCTCCTCCCAACAAAGTGGTATCAAGAGCCTTAAGATCCTTTCTAGAGAAATGGCAAGTAGCAACATGGTTCCTTTCCAAGTCCCTTTGCTCACCAAGAACAACTATGATAATTGGAGCATCAAGATGAAGGCCCTCCTTGGATCACAAGATGTGTGGGAAGTGGTAGAAAAAGGCTACGATGAGCCAAAAGAAGGAGTCACTCTATCCTAAACTCAAAGGGATAGCTTGAAGGATTCAAGTAAGAGAGACAAGAAAGCTCTCTATCTCATCTATCAAGGATTGGATGAAGATGCCTTTGAGAAGATTTCGGAGGCAGCCACCGCAAAGGAAGCATGGGAGAAGCTACAAACCTCTTACAAGGGTGCTGAGCCGGTCAAGAAGGTACATCTTCAAACTCTAAGAAGTGAGTTTGAAACTTTACACATGAAAGATGCCGAAAGTATCTCCGATTATTTTTCTAGAGTCTTGACGGTGACTAATCAATTAAAAAGAAATGGTGAAAAGATAGATGATGTAAAAATTATGGAGAAAATTTTGCGATCTTTAGATTCGAAATTCGATCATATTGTCACTATCATAGAAGAAACAAAAGATTTGGAAGCTATGACAATAGAGCAACTCTTGGGCTCCTTACAAGCATATGAGGAGAAGCGAAAGAAAAAGCAAGGGGTTGGTGAACAATTACTCAAGACACAACTCAACTTCAAAGGAAAGGAAGAAGACTTTGGCAACACAAGAGGACGAGGAAGATATCGTGATCGAGGAAGAGGTCGTGGACGTGAAAGTATAGGCTTCAACAACAACTATGCCCATAAAGATCGAGGAGAAAGCTGGTGGCTTCCAACCAAGGCATGACAAATCACAAATCAAGTGCTACAACTGTCAAAGGTTCGACCATTATGCTTCTGAATGTAGAGCCCCTACAAGGAGGATTGAGGAGAAGGCAAACTATGTGGAAGAGAAAAGTCAAGAAGATGGCACTCTGTTGATGGTACGCAACAACAATGTAGGAGAACATGAGAATACATGGTATCTAGACTCGGGGGCAAGCAATCACATATGTGGAAAAAGAAACATGTTCGTGAAACTTGACGAATCGGTGAATGGAAATATCTCATTTGAAGATGAATCAAAGACACCAGTGAAAGGCAAATGTAAGATTCTTATCCGATTAAAAGACGGGAGGCATGAATTCATTTCTAATGTGTACTATGTGCCCAACATGAAGAATAATATTTTGAGTCTAGGGCAACTCTTACAGAAAGGGTTTGATGTTCACTTGAGAAATAATACTCTTTCTTTAAGAGATAATCAAAATAACTTGATTGCTAAGGTACCTATGTCAAGAAATAGAATGTTTCTGTTGAACATTCAACAGGACATTGCAAAGTTTCTCAAAGCCTGCTACAAGAATGCATCTTGGCTGTGGCATCTACGATTCGGACACCTCAACTTTGATGGTCTTGAGTTACTATACAAGAAGGAGATGGTGAGAGGATTGCCTTCCATCAGTCAACCTGACTGATGTGCCTCTGGCAAATGTGGTTTTTCCATGTTAAAATTGATAAGAATTGGGTCATAAGAGAGCAATTTAAATACATATTTGCTAATTATATTGATTCTTTCTTTTCAATTATAGTTCTCACCTATTGGTTGTGTTTTTACAGGTAAAAGAAGTGAAAATTACAAAATTATAAAAAGCCTATTGACGCGATTCCACGAGGGTATTTTTGGAAGAAGAAAAAGAGTCTTATAAATAGGAGACTTTGCACATAAATTAGGTTAAAAGTCCTTGATTTGTGGAGTCACGAATTTGGCGCTGATCGTGCGGGCGTCATGAATGCAATCCTTGAATTGTGGAATTATGATCAGAATAAATTCAGGAATTATGACCGGATCGCGGATTTGGAGCTGATAGAGTGGGCGTCATAAATGTTGTCCTTGAATTGTGGAATTATGATCAAAATGAAAAATTAATGAAATTAAATTTAAAGATTATAACCTGATTGACCGGTTTCCTATTTAAAGGGTGGTCCTCCACCATTCCAAGACATTGGAGACGATTCCGACCGATTTTCTTCAGAAGGAGACCGACGGCAGAGCTCAGGAGGATTCTTCTACAGTTCTTCTTCTTCTATTTTCTCTGTAATTTTATGCTTTTGAATATTGGATTAGTTTTAGCCATGATTATGCTTGGCTAGTTCTCTTTTATTGTAGTTAGGGTCACGAGCCCTATGTGAACCCTTGTTACGATGGATTGATTTAGTTTTATTCATTTGTATAATTATCTTTGTCTCTACCTTGTGCGTATTTCCTATTCTCTTTATTAGAACTGATCAATCTGATAGTTGGGAATAGTTTGAGGGTTAGAACCCTAGATAGGAATATTGGGGTTTTCATCTTGAAAGGGGGTAGGACAACAATTGGTATGCATGCTAGGAATAGATGTGTATTTAATTGCGGATGCTTAAATTATTGCGTTCATTGCTTAATACCATGAGGAACATTGCAAGGAATTGGGGTTCCAATTGGGGATTAAAGGGTTAACCTTGCAAGGAATTGAGGGTTAACTAATAAATATTTTTAGATAATAATTTATCCGAGTAATTATATGAATAAATATTGTGAATCAATCCAAAGTAAGAAGTGGGGATCATAAGGTGAGTGCGCTCTAGCTACAATATTTCTCATATTTTTATCCAAATCATTTTGCATCATTCTCTTATTTTTAAAATCCAAAAATACGTCTTTGTCTTTAATTTCTATTGTTCTTCAAATCACTTGGGTTTTATATCTTGAAAGGACGTTTATAAGATATTCGCTCACAATCCCTGTGGAGACGATAACTTACTTATCACTTTAGTACTTGAACGATCGGTACACTTGCCGGATTGTATCACTGACCAACTATGCGAAGGATGTCTACTTGGGAAGCAATGTCGAAAGAGCTTTCCAAAGGAGTCTTTGTCAAGAGCCAACAAGCAGCTCGAGCTCATACATACAAATGTTTGTGGACCATTGAAGCCAAGCTCACTCGGTAAGAGTAATTACTTTCTTCTCTTCATAGATGATTTCTCAAGAAAGACATGGGTGTATTTCCTAAAGCAAAAATCAGAGGTGTTTGGGGTCTTCAAGAAGTTCAAGGCTAGTGTGGAGAAAGAAAGTGGATGCGAGAACAAAGCAATGAGATCCAATCGAGGTGGAGAGTTCACTTCTAAAGAATTCCTAGAATTTTGTGATGATAATGGAATCCGAAGGCCTTTAACCGTTCCAAGAAGCCCGCAGCAAAATGGAGTAGCTGAAAGGAAGAATAGAACCATCCTCAACATGGCGAGGAGCATGCTCAAGAGCAAAAAGATGCCAAAGGAGTTCTGGGCTGAAGCTGTTGCAACTGCAGTCTACCTTTTAAACCGCTCGCCAACAAGGAGCGTGTGGGGAAAGATACCACAAGAAGCATGGAGTGGAAGAAAGCCTGGGATCTCCCACCTGAGAGTGTTTGGAAGCATAGCCTATGCACATATTCATGATGAGAAGAGGTCCAAGCTTGATGACAAAAGTGAGAAGCTCATCTTCATAGGGTATGACTCTAACTCTTAAGGCTATAAACTTTACAATCCTAACAATGAAAAGACCATCATTAGCCGAGATGTGGAATTCAATGAAGAAGAAGAATGGAATTGGGGTCTACATGATGAAAACTACAACTTACTTCCCAATTTAATGGAAGATGAAGAGATGGAGCAACCAAGGATAGAGCAAGAAAGAGAAGAGACCATGACTCCCCCAACTTCACCAATCAGAAGTCAACAACAATAACCATTGTCATCTGGAAGTTCAAGCGAAAGAGCACCACGCTTCAAGAGCTTGCAAGAACTTTATGAGGTAACAGAAAATCAAGATAATCTCGCTTTGTTTTGCCTCTTTGCTGATTGTGAACCAATGAGTTTTCAAGAAGCCGTTCAAAGCAAGAAATGGAGAAATGCTATGGATGAAGAAATCAATGCGATTGAGAAGAACAAAACATGGGAGCTAGCCTCACTTCCAAAAGGGCACAAGGCGATTGGTGTGAAGTGGGTCTACAAAGCTAAAAGGAATGTCAAGGTTGAAGTTGAAAGATACAAAGCGCGATTGGTGGCAAAAGGCTATAGTCAACGAGCAGGAATCGATTATGATGAGGTATTTGCTCCTGTTGCTCGCTTAGAAACTATTAGACTAATTATTTCTTTGGCAGCTCAAAACAAGTGGAGCATACACCAAATGGATGTAAAGTCAGCATTTTTGAATGGAGTACTTGAAGGGTACGAAGTCAAAGGACATGAAGATAAGGTATTGAAGCTGAAGAAGGCACTTTATGGGCTAAAACAAGCACCAAGAGCTTGGAATAGTCAAATAGACGAGTACTACCAAGAGAATGGTTTCATCAAATGCCCTTACGAGCATGCACTTTATGTCAAGCTCAAAGATGGAGATATTTTGATCGTGTGCTTGTACGTGGATGATCTAGTCTTCACCGGAAACAATCCAAGGATGTTTGAAGAGTTTAAGAAAGTGATGAAGAAGGAGTTTGAGATGACTGACATTGGACAAATGGCATACTATCTCGGCATTGAAATCAAGCAGAAAGAAGAAGGTTTTTTCATCACTCAAGAAGGTTACGCAAGGGAGATACTGAAGAAATTCAAGATGGACGATTGCAAGCCTATCAACACTCCAATAGAATGTGGAGTTAAGTTGTCCGAGTATGGTGAAGGAGAAGATGTTGATCCTACTTTCTTCAAAAGCTTAGTTGGAAGTTTACGCTACTTGACATGCACCAGACCTGACATCCTCTTTGCTGTTGGATTCGTTAGTCGTTACATGGAGACTCTAACTACCACGCACTTGAAGGCTGCAAAGAGAATCCTCCGCTACATTAAAGGTACTATCGACTTTGGCTTATTTTACTCATCCTCTAATGAATATAAACTTGTTGGTTATAGTGATAGCGATTGGGCTGGAGACATGGATGATAGAAAAAGCACCCCTGGATTTGTGTTCTACATGGGAGATACTGCTTTCACATGGATGTCAAAGAAACAACCTATTGTCACTCTGTCTACATGTGAAGCCGAATATGTCGCAGCTACATCGTGTGTTTGCCACGCCATTTGGCTAAGGAACTTGCTGAAGGAGTTGAATATGCAACAAGAGGAGCCAACCAATATTTATGTTGACAACAAATCTGCCATTGCATTAGCAAAGAATCCAGTCTTCCATGATAGAAATAAGCACATTGACACACGCTATCACTTTATAAGGGAATGCATTGCAAGAAATGAGGTGCATATAAAATATGTCAAGTCTCAAGAACAAGCAGCAGATATCTTCACCAAGTCACTCAAGAATGAAGACTTTGTCAAGATGAGAAAATTGCTTGGAGTTACAAAATCAAGTTTAAGGGGGGGGTGTTGAATAAATAAATAAACTTGATTTAATTAGTTTTTGGTCCATTGGGCTTAGTTATTATTTGGCCCAACTTCTACAATAATCTTTAGGAGTAGTTTAGCCCAAATTCTAGAGTAATCCACTCTAGATTACTCCATGAAAATATCTAGAATAGTTCAACCTAGAAACTACCATAGAAATATCTAGGCTAGGAAAATTGTGGAGAATTCTAGAGAATGATTTGTAGCCATTAGATGATAATAGTGTTGGCATAATCCTAGCCATTGGTTAAGGAGGTGCCACTAGTATAAATAGGTGTGTCCTCCATCATTTTGCATCAAGCCAAAAAGCCAAAAAAAAAACAGAGAGTTGTGTAGTAATAAAAGTGTTCTCTTCCTCCAAGTCTTTCTAAACCTTTCCTTTTTTCAAATATCCTCCTCCCAACAACACTTGCATTATTTTAGCTATAGATCAACCAATACTCTCCCAATCGCTACAAATAAAAATGGTAGGATTAGTGTCACGGGGGGGCATTTTACGATTCCTTGAGCACTGTAGTGTTTTGACAGAATATATTTCCGTTGAAAACTTCATCAGAATATGTTCCATCAAAAATTTCCGTCAAAAATTTGGACTTTTCTAGTAGTGAGCTGATTCTCCCTTGCAAACCATAACATTTCTCATGTGTACTTACACACCCATTATTCTTTCCAGTAGCCAATTGCTTTGAAATTCTAATCCATCCTCTACAAGACATCTTTACCACCCCTTCGTATATACATACACCAACTTACATTAGCAGGATGTTTTCGGGTAAATCAAACTGAACAATAACTTTGCATATATTGAGATTTTTCACCTATATCCAATAAATTAGCAATTCAAAATCTCGAATAAAACTTGTAAAAGTCAATAATATGATTCTATCATTCATTTCACTATAAGTGGGGAACATGCATGCTAATGCATTGTATTACCAATTAAATACAAATTATTATTAAGTAAAATATAAATAGTAACCGCTGTAGATTAGCAAAAAAACGTCACAGTTCATCATAATAAACGCCGCAGATTTCTCATTTTTCCACAGTTTACTCGTGA